ACTCGAAAAAACTTCTCTTTGAAAGGGAAAGAATGTGGGCCTGCCCGCCTGAGACTCACATTTGAAAGGGAGATGTTGAGGAATCCAAGTGTGAATGATTGAGTGAAAAAATCTCACATTGGTTAAGAATGAACTAAGTGAGTATCATATAAGTGGAAAGACTCATGCACCTAAAGCTCTAAGATTTTGGTTTGATTGTGGTGTTCCAAGCCCACTAATGTTGTTGCTCACTTGGCCCATGGTTGGCGGTATCTCCCCGCTCTAAGCTCCCCCACATGGCCCAATATTTGAATGGTTTTATACTTCTTGAGCCCCAAGTTTTTTTGAGCCCAACTAGCTAGTATTGCGCCGTGTGTAGCATTAAGGAGGAAAAACCTAACATTTATAGGGCTAGGTTGTAAGTTAGGAAGATAGGTTGTTTTAAGTACTTTTCTGGGCTGCTTGTAGAGAACTTTGAGAAGAGTCTTCAAGTTGGGGGCAATTCTTCCTCATTGTCTTTCCTTACATTGTATATTTTTCTTTTACATTAATAAAACACCTCTTTTAAGTAAGATAGGAGAACAAAATCCTATCAATTGGTGATTTCATTGAGAAATTTTAGGGAAACTCAAGGGGAGAGTCTTTGGTATATGGTCACGAGGATTGATGCGTTAGAGGCAAAAATGGCGACGGTGGAAGTATCACTTAAAATGCAGGAGACAATACTAAAAACCCATGATGCTGCAATGAAAACTCATGGCCTGTAACTTAATAAGCACTTGAGTATGTTGGCTTAGATCATGTCTAGCTTGGGAGAACTCTCTAAGAAAGTGATCTCTCTACACATTGAGGTTCAAGAAGGTTTCAAACGACACCAAGAAACACCAAGTTCAATGTTTTCTGGTTCACGGATGGATGTTGGATCTAGTAACTGCGGGGGAGTTAAGCATGAAAAGGAGGCTGAGAGGGAACATACTCCTCCATGTTCAAAGATTATCATCTGTTAGCAAAGAAAGTGGAATTACCAGCCTTTTCTGGCGCTGATCTAGTGGGATGAGTAGCGAGGGCTAAAGCCTACTTTGCAGTGCAAGACATACCCATGGAGATACGAATGAAGTATTCTCAAATCAGCATGGAAGGGTCCATATGGCATTGGTTCAAGGTGATAAAGGAATCTGATCTTTCAGGACTGGGAGAAATTCAAGCATGCCTTGTTTGACTAGTATGGGGAGAATCATTTTGGGAATCTGTTCTCCCAGCTTAAGGTCCTAACCCAAACTGGTTTGATGGATGACTATATTGATGAGTTCTATATGCTTGTTTCCCAGGTTCCCCATATGCCCGAGGAGCAATACATGGGACTATTTCTAGGAAGATTAAGGGAGGATATTCAATTAGAGGTACTTCAATGTGACCCACCTAATAAATATAAAATTATTGCCCATTCCAGAATTGCAGAAAGGAAGCTTAGTGTTAAAAATGACCACAAGTCATTCACGGGAGGTGGAGAACAATGAGCTTATCGCAAAGTAACTACAACAACCCTTGCCAATTCAGGGGGTCCAAGATCGTGGAATCTGGAACGAGCAAAAGCCCTAATTTTAAGCCAACAGTATCACAACATGCCTTAGTAGTTTCCCTAAAATCGAGAGCCAATCAGTAGGGAATTCCAATAAAAGAGTGCATAATCTAACATATCAAGAATTAATAGAGAGAATAGCAAAAGGGTTATGTTTCAAATGCGGCCATAAATTCTCCCCAACTCATCAATGCCGGGATAGACAATTACGATTACTGATATGGGAAGACGAGGATTCAGTAGACAAGGTTGATTCACTGTTGGCGAAGGAAGAGGTTGAGATGCTCAGGTTCTGCCTTGAGGACAAGGAAAATTTTCAGGCGGATAGTATTGATAGGAATCAAGTCAAAAGAAACAGGGGTAATTAACAGAGGTTGTGAGAAATGTTAGTGGGGGATAAATCTTTTTAACTGCAGTAGTAGGGAGTCAGTGGCAGATCCAGAAAATTTTATTTATGTGTGCACACTTAGTGGTGGGGTTCGAGGGCAACGCGCCCGGAAAAAAAAAATTATTTTTTATAAATGTATTATAAAAACAAAAGAATGTGAACAAGAAAAGAAAAGAAAAACTTCAACTTAACATAAAATAATAATAATCAATGGTCATATAAAGGTGATTCTTCTTTTGTTATTTTTCCATTCTCCATACTCAAAATTTTGAGACCTATAGTTAAGAATAATAATTATTTCACAATTTCAGTCAATAATAATTTGTTAATGCAAAATAATCTTGCTCCATATTTTTTATTATTTTGATATAAAATATAATTATTTATATCTAATAAACATTCCGCTCATTCAAGAAAAATTCACATAACACAATATCTAGATAATTATATGCAAAGACATTATATTTCACTTTTTAATTTTCTGTTTTTTCACTCTGTGTTTAGACCTACCAATCACAGTAATTTCCTTACACTTTGGCACCATGCTATAGTTAATTTAAGAGCATTCAATAATTTATGTAAAATATATGTTGAGAAAAGTAAAAGTAATTAAGAGCTGGATTGCCTATGGTGCATTGAAGAGAATTAACAAACAAGTGAAGTGTATCATAAGTGTGTTATTTACAAATCTTTTAGAGAAAAATATGTATATATCAAATGCAAGGATTTAATTTTGGTACAATAATTACCAGATTTATTATGCATTGTCATCAAATTGTTGTGTTATCAAATATAAAAGTTGGACAGTTAATTGAATTATTGTAGAAGTTGTTTATTTTTGTTAACAGATAGTGTGATGACATATGATGGACAAAGGGTACACAACCTCTAAACAAGGATGCGATGTAGTTAAATTTTTTTTTCCAGAAATTCATGTATGCAAATGCAGACATTGGTCCCAACATCGGTTCGCCGATGTAGGGAGTTATGGAAAGATATGGTAGTATAGGATTGTCTTTATAGGGCTAGGCTATAAGTTAGGAACATAGGTTGGTTTTATGTAATTTTCTAGGCTGCTTACATAGAGAACTTGGAGAAGGGTCTTCAAGTTGGGGGCAAATCTTGCTCATTGTCTTTCCTTACATTGTATATTTTTCCTTTACATTAATTAAATTTTTCTTTCCAGTAAGACAAGAGAACAGAAATGAGAAACCTATCAGGTTGCCTTAGTGGCCAAATCACAGGAGGTCTCGGTGGTCCTTTGGGTCTTTAGGAATTGAGTCTCTATCTCGCTTATAGTAGGTCCAGATCAAAAAAATTAGGAGATTTTACGAGCCTCTACTCTTCGCTCAATTAAAGCTTTAATGCTTCTTTTGTATATGCCACAACATAATTATTCATAGTTTACTCATAATTACTTATATTTTTCGGTCCAACTAACTTTTTCTGCCCTATTAGGCAAGTTTTTTTTTTTTAAGGTTCAAAATGGTGACAAAATATGCAACCACTCCATTCAAGCAGTCATTAAAGCTCTCCCCAAATATACGACTCCAAAATTCGAACATTTCCCACTTCATTAATAGAGATAGCCCGTGGAGTTTATTGTCCATTAAACCAACTTACTTTGGGTTATATTAAGCAAGTTTTTGGTTAGGTACGGTTGATGGATACATTTTTTTGTACAGGCATAGCTCTAGCATTTGTAGTGACGTCATTTAATGGTTCAGCAAGAAAATTGTCAAAGTTTCACTTCATAATGTATATGCGCTGGGAAGTGTACGTTCATGTTCAGTGTAAGAGTGTAATTATGTATCATGCCTTTGATTGAATAAAACATATATTCTGCATTTCAAAAAAAAAAAAAAAAATCAAACGAAATGCATGTCCTAAAACAAAGTAATTTAATCCCTTTGTAATATCAAGAGATATCTTATATATCAAATCGGTATATTGCGTTGGTTTCTCTATGATCTTTTGTCACTCACATATTTATCATATGGTACGATATAGATACCACTATTTTTTTTTTTGTAATACCACTATGATACACAATTCTGCATAAAGATTTTTTCTACCGATTGTGAAACAACTTTCGGTACAATGAACGTACTTGTATAATTATATATATGCAGTCCCAATAGAAAATTTTGGTCATGTTATCATAAATAAGTAATTGCAAACATATATTCATACGTACAGAAAATTAAATTACGATAAAAATAAAAATAAAAACCAATCGCAAAACCCGACTCATCATTTGCCAACAATATTACGTGGTGTCGCATTTTAAAGTTTTCTAACTTTCATTTTCATGCTTGTGTAATTGCTCAAAAGCCTAAATTAAATTTGAAGTTCTTTCCTAGCTAGATAAATAAATATTCATTTTCGTGTGGAGAAAAAAGGCAGCGAGAGAAGATGCATGAAGATAAGCTTTAAAAAATGAAATTAATGAAACACAAAGCCATGAATATTTGTGAAATGCTAATCATAATGCAAATGATTTGACAGTCAACAATTATTATTTCTATATCTTCTTCTTTTTCTTCCATCTTCCAATTCTTTTTTCTTCTCTTCTTACAAGTCTAAAATATCCTCCTTGTACAGATATATATGAGCCTTTTAACAATAATGCACAACTACAATTTAAAACCAACCGCATGAATTCAAAGGATATTATATTTTTGTATGTTACAAACTTACACAGATTCATATATAGATAATAAACAAAACATGTTCAGAAAAGTCCATAATTATTTACCAACTCAAGCATTTGATGCCATGGATAAAATCAAACAACAAATGTCAATGCTTCCACTGAAGCATGAGTCCTCAACCTCTATCTATATATATATATATAGTTAAACACTTGGCCTAGACTTGTGATTTTCAAATGAACCAGACTTGCTAGCTCCTAATAATTAGCCCCTTCTCTCCCCAGCTTGATTCTCCCACAATTTTCCTTTTTCACTCTTAAAACTAAAAAGCAAGCGTCTATATATATATATATATATATATATATATATATATATATTATTGTCTTAGAACTTGAATGTGTCAAAGGTCATCATCATCCCTAAGCTTAAGTCCCAAACACCAAGGCCTTGTTTTAGCACCAGAATCCACTGTTCTTCTGAGAGAGATGCTAATCTCATCCCATATTTGCTTGCACTCAGTTGCACTCCTATCAAAGCCCAAACAAGCCAATTTTGCAGCTATTTCATCCCAAAGGCCATTTTCCAAGTACCCATTTTCTCTGAATCGATGTTCAAAACCAGTCCTTAGCTGTATCAAATTTGAAATTTCCATTTCTGTCCATCTGCTACTGCTATGATCAACAGCTTCACTGGGATATTCGTTGGCATCATTATTTGCATGGCCCTTATTCTTATTTGGTTGTTCTTCAACCATAGCTTCATCTAATGGTAATGTTTCAAGTTCTATCCCAATATGTTTCCTCACAATGTCTATCAATGCAGCATCTCTTGCTTCAACCCATGCTTTCTCTTTAGCCCAAAGTTCATGTACTTCTTGGTCAAACCTCATTGACTCTTTTTTCTTCCTTTCTTCCTCCTTAGACACCATCTCTTGCTCTCTTTGTTCAACAACACTCAACATTCTCTCCATCCAAGCATCTTGAGTCTCTATAATCTTCCTCATGTGGGAATCCACAATCTCCTCCACTTTAGCTCTCCAACTTTTTCTGAGCCTCCTATGACTTTCTCTCTGCTGGTCTAAACCTTTCTGCTTACCCCTTGATTGCTTCATCATGTATGCAATAGCTGAAAGATCCTCATCATTGTTTTCAGATGAGGATGTCTCAAATTCAGATGAATTTGAGAAACTGAGGCTCTCTGAGCACTTGAGGTTATTAAAATCACCATTGTCTTGGTTAATTTTGAAGCTTGGAGTTTGAATACCAGAAGTGTTTGCAGCATGATGGGTTTTATTTGAAGTTGAGGCATGAGCGGTTGCTTCTCCACATATTGCTTCAAGCTGCCTGAAGAATCTGTAGTGCTTTCCATCTTGTCTACTAGCTTTACCTTCCTTGGTCTTCTTGTAATACTTGTACAAATTCTCAAACTTCTCTTTGCATTTCTTTCCACTTCTTTGGTACCCAAATTCCTCAGCCATTATCCTAATTAAACACGTAGATCACACAGCTATACATTACTATGCACATATAACAAAAACCCATTTTTTATTTTCTTATAGATAAAATTTGGTGTAAGAGAAAGGGATAATATCTCCTTTAAAATTGAAACCTTGGGGGTAAAAAGAGATTTTGTTTTTGTTTTAAAAAAAAAAAAATCATGTGATAGAAGATACATATAATAAATCCAAGGTTTGTCTTTTGAATCGATGCTGAAGGAATTTAAATAATGGAAACATTCTCTCTTCATTAAAGATGTCAGAAACATCAATTATCTGAATTTGAATTAACAAAATTCCAATAGCCCTAGCTGAGCAAAGTAGGTTAATAGGACTAAAAAACAAAGACAGGCTTTAAGTACATGAGAAATCCTTGCACCTGTGATTTACTTTACTCAAAGAAAAAACCAGCGCAACTATACACATTGAGTCAGTGGAATTTCATGGACAAAACTAGAAATAGATAACAAAAAGCACATGAATCTCTCAGTTAGCTGTAAGTTATATGGCCTGTCATTTTCAAGCGCAAAAGAAAATTAACCAAAAAAAAGGAAAAGAAAAAAAAGTTTGCTAAACCAAACCAACAAGACAAAAAGAAAAAAGACAGGAAGAACAACCATATCTTCTTCATTCCTGACACTACGTTTTCACTACTAAACCATCATCAAGCACAAGAACAAAAGTGGGTTTTATGAGCTTAATATATATATATATGTAAATATATATACCTAGAAATCTCATTCCACAAGGGTGCTTTCTGATTATTCTCTCTGAACTTGGAATCAAGACGAGATCTGATCTCTAGAAGAGAAAGAGTTTCCTGTCTAGGCCACCTGTTGTTCCCAGAATCAAACCCAAGCCACCCTTTTTCTGCAGCCTGTATGCCACAGAATGGAGCAGTAGCATAGTCCAACGCAGTAGCAGCATCAACAGCAGCAGTAGTAGTATTAGTAGTAGTGGTGGTGGTGGTGGTGGTGTTAGTTGTGGGGTTGACACTGGATAAATAGTCATGGTGTGCAAAGTGAGTGAAGCCACGAGGGAAGAAAACATCCCCAACCATGATGGGGTCGTAGCTATTAGGTGGAGGAGGAGGAGCAGCAGCAGCAGCAACGTTCAGTCCATGGTGGACACTACACAGTGACTCTGGTAAACTTGTGTTGATGTTGAAATGGTTTCTTGCTGATATAAGCCGCCGGAGATCCTCCGGTAGCCCGTAAGGTTCACCCATCTTCACTGCAGAGAGTGAAAGAGAGATACAGAAAGCGAAAAGAAAAGAAAAGAAAAGGGTAGAGCAGACAGAGGATGAGAGAAAAGGTCCAGTCTTGGTTCTGTCAAGAAATGAGTTTTTTTATTATTATTATTATTATTATTTTATTTTATTTTACTTGTTATTTAATTTTGTAAGGAGACAGGATCCGAGTCTACCGCAACTATTAAAAGTTAGACTCACTCTAGCTCAGTGTGTTATTATACAGAGAGAGAGAGAGAGAGAAGCAAAGGAACTGAATCAAGTGGTAAGGCTTGAAGTACTTTTTTTAGAAAGCATAAAGTATAATCCTTCCTTCCTCCTTCCAAAACCTAGGAGATATAAAAGTACTAGTGGCTTATTCTGTTCCTAATTATTTCAAACAAAATATTTTTTTTTATTCCAATATATTAATTATATTCTTCCAAGCAAGTTATATCTTTTAAAAATGTGTATCCATATAGATACGAGATTAATCCCGAGTCAATCAGCATAATAATTACCTAATTTTGACCCCTAAAAATCTTCTCCAAGATTTGAATCCTTAGTCTTTTGTCAATTTATTCTCTTGTGACTTTTTTTTTTTGGTAAGCTCTCTTGTGACTTATTTTATCACTTAGCCAACTCTCAGGTTAATCAAAATTTTATTTAATCATTGTAGAAACTAGAAAGCAGAGGCGAGGGCTAGCAGAGGCGGTCGATTCCCTCAAGTTCATCAAACATTTGTTTAAGGTTATATTTATGGGTTTTATAAGGGTTATGTCGTAGAAAAAGTGATTGTGTAATATTATAGAGATTCGTTTTGCGTGCCGTAGTTTTTTTTTTTGTTTCAAAAAGTGTGGGCCCCACAAAATATTGTGTGTATAGAAAATTTTCTTGTGTCATGTGAAATGATAAATGCAAACCCCTATATTTAAACTTAAAAGAAAGTTAGTGTAACATAAATTCGTTCTCTTCCATTCTTATTATTCTTTAAAAATATTTGAAGAATTTTACAAATTTAATTATATATCAACTTATTATTTGGCCTGAATTAATGTAAATTTAACTTTAACCATCCTCTGTCACAAAATTTTATGTTTTGTTATTAATAGAAAGGGAAAATTTCTTTTCAAATTCTCTTGAGGAAAATAGTTGAGCAAAGTATGCTTATAAGCTGGGAAGCACGAACATGCGATTTTTAAAAAAAAAAAACACCGACACATACGTGGGTCAATATTTTGGGACACATGATCAATCTTCTAACATGTTTCAACACGCAGTTAACTTTTTTTTGACACGCGGTCAATGCTCCGATACGTTATTTTTTTAGTCTTAATTTTATTTTATTAACTAAATATAAAAAAATTAATTTATAAATCAATTTTTTTTGTTATGAAATTTGACATGAAAAATTAACAAAGTACAAAAAATTATTTTGTTTATATTTATGTTATGAAATTTGAATATTTGATTGGCTATATGACTTATTATGGACTGATATATGTATTAAATATAAATTATATTATATATATCAAAATATTTATTTAATATCAAAACGTGTCCTAACGTGTCAAAATATGACGTTTTTTAAAATTAACGTGTCAGAGTGTCGTGTCTCGTGTAGTGCATCATAGCTTATAAGTTATAATATGAACATAATTATACTTATAAATTTTTTGTTTATAAACTCTTACAAATTATATTATGTATTACAAGTACTACATATTATTTGAGCATGTAATGCCAGTAATATATAATGCAATTTATAAAAATTTATATATATAACTTACCCCTTGTAATATTGCTATATTTGGCCGGTGAGAGAGAGATAGAGAGAGACAAATGGCAGAGCATCACGCGGTGAAATTCTATGCCTGCTTTGGTTGAGTGACGGATGAACAGTACTTGAGACTTTGCCTTTTTTATTACTTTTCTTACTATTTAGTAGCAGCATCTTTGTGGAGGGTAGCTTAGCTTAGCTTTAAGCGAATACCTTTCTTAATCATAACTGTTAGGTAAACATATATCTGCACACAATTGTTTTAAATGTGTAGAATGTAAGTTTAAATAAAAATTCATTATTATTCTTGTTAATGACAAGTGTCGTGTATATAATAAGCATAAAAATGAGGGGCTTGAGCTCTCAAGCTATTAGAAACGGAGAATCTACTTATTCTTGAGCCACAGACTCAATTGGTTGTGACTGACTGGTGAGAATTACAAATACCTTTCTTGCACTTTGGATTGCCACTTTTATAGATGGAGCTGTTAAGAACGACTTAAAGTGGCTGTTGGGTCCCATGAGCAACTACAGGTTCAGTGTCCGAGCTTAATTTGTAAATCATCATATACATACACTCTTCTGATCAATTTTAAAATATTTATCATGAAATAAAAATTTTGTTTTATTTTGTTTATTATTTTGAAAGAATCTTATTTAGTTTTTGTTTTGCAATATAATTTAGAGAAATATTTTTCTCGTGTTACATAAAAAAGTTTATCTCATGTTACACGCCCATTGAAATCCGAGTCAATATTTCTTTTTTTTTTCTTTTTTTTAGTTGTGGAATCCACCTAATTATGTCTCTACATGAGATAATGTTATCTCATGTAACATGAGAGAAGCATAGCCCTATAATTTAAGGTAATCCATTTTCCAGGAGAGTTTTTGTCTCATGGGGGTGAGATAAAAAAGCAAACTCCACACTTAATTAAAATAAGGAATAAGTTATTCTATCTATCATTTTTTCTGTCTACCATTCTTCAATACCGTTAGATCAGAATCTTAAATAACATTTATCTTTCTCTCTCTTCTTGAGATTTTGATCTAACAGTATTGGAAAGTGATAGGCAAAGATAGACAAAAAATTAATAGGTAGAATAACTTATCCCTTAAAATAAATAAAAACAAAAGTGACATGATTTTTTATGTATCCGCTGGAAGAACAAAGACTCTTTTGCAACAGAAGAGTCAATTGCCCCATAATTTAAATGAGATGAAATTAATTAAATTCATGATATTATGATATTTTTAACATTTTTTCATATAATTGAGGCTATTTAACAGTTTTCATAATCCTAATACAATTAATTACCTTAAATGACAAGTATGTTCAGATAAAATGAATATACGACAACAGATGATAGAGTTTCATACTAAACTTTTGTTTTATCAAATATTACTCTAACCATTTTAAAAGGTAATTTTTGAATTAAATATTGAAATTTTTAAACAGTTTTAAATATTATAAGAAAATAAAAATATATTTGATAAATTATTCTCTATAAAGAATATATAAAAATATAGAAATAGAAATATAGGAATATAGGAGATAAGGATAGGATAAAAAAAATTAATAAGAACAATATTATATTGAAACAGAGAGAGTATATAAAGAAAAATATTATTTATCAAAATGTAGAAGCTTAACCAAATATAATTTTATTAAAGTTCTTATTATAAAATAATTTTTTTGATATAATGAAGAAAAAAATTAAAAGCTCATAGGGAAACTTTTTTTAAGATATATACTAGCTTTTTAAAGTTCTCATATTTATTTACAATTTTACCCTTGTATTTATATAACAAACTTTTTTTAAAGATATATTCTTGCTTTATCCTAATAATCTATTATTATGGTATCAAATTATTTCATCTTCCTCATCTGAAACCATCACAATAACTTTATATAATTACCATATAGGTTTTAGTTTATTTTTTTACTTTTTTTTTAACTTTAGCTTAAAAGTGTATATATATATATATATATATATATATATATATATATATATATATATATATATATATATATATATATATAAGGCTTATCATTTCTCAAATTATTTTAGATAACTTTATCTCCGGCTACTAAATCATAACCGTACAAAGATGGATCAATGGTGATAACTGGAGAGAGAAAAAAAAAAATCATAACCATTCAAAAATGAATCAATTAATATAAAGAAATAAATAAACAAAACAACATAATTTTTGGGTGCAGGAGATAAATATATCTCAAGCTGTTGGAAAAATATATTTTTTCATATTATATATATATAGAGAGACGTCAAACAGGTTCTAAAATAACTATATATTGGCAAGCGATACGCCTAGGATTCTTAATTTGTTTACAAACTCCACTGAAATTTATTACAACTTTGCAAAATGAAACCCGACGTTACTTAACTTATTTAAAGGAGAATAATTAGACTCTCGCTTTAACGGCGTACACTCACGCTTATTGTAATTATAATGACCTTAAAAGCTACGAATTACATAAGGGATTATCACTTTTTTAACAAATGCTTTTTACAATAAGAAATGATTTTCACTTTAGCTGCATAGTTCAACTAGTTGGAATGAATAAAAAACAAATGTTTATGTTATCAAAAAAAAAAAAAAAACAAATGTTTATATGTAACGATTCTTGATGTCTTCATTTTAACAAATATTGTTGGGGGTGTTTGGTACGCAAGATTTTGAGAGATTTTCGGGAAACTGAATTTTTTTAAATTTTAAATTTTCAGATATTATCGTAAACTGAATGCAAAAATTATATTTTTGAAAATCGAGATTTCCGGACAAATAAAAATTTCTCCTGTACCAAACGCCCCAAGTTCATTTCATTTTCAAAAACCGTTTATATCGGGAAAACAAAAGGCATATTACCGAGTTAAAATGTTATATATCATATCATAATAAAGGTAACTTCTTTTTCTTTTCTTTTTTGAAAACTAACACGTTCGGTATGCTGGAAGGGCCAATTTCATTTCCCGCCTTCTATAAAATGATATATTTCTGTTTATGTTTCTGTCTTATTCTATAAAATCAAGAATTAATTTTGCATTGAGATTTCACATTCTATTAAATGAGATTTAATTTTCAAATTCGCGTCAAATTAAAGATGATTAATTGTAACTCTGTATAAATATTCTTCAAGTTTTTCTTGGAAATAAAACTATTTTGTTAGCAACAACCTTTTTGTGTCAAGTTGTTGAAA